GGGTTGCTGGGGTGACTCTGAACAACTTTTTCCTTTTCCAAAATCCAGTTTGAAGCTTCGTTTTCGAGTTATTAACGAAAAACACTGGCCAATCACAGCGTGCGTAGAGCCCGCGCTCAGGGACGAAGAACAGAGACTCATCCGTGCGCGATCGAACAAATGCGTACGCGAGACTTCTCGGTTGTCGATCGCTGAATATTGTTTCGTTGGTTATAAATTTTTGAAAAAACTGCAATTAGTCTGAATCGCGAAGAAAATAGCGAAGGTCGTTTTTACAACATTTTTATCTGAGCTCGGAATGAAAATCTAAAACATACGTTTTGTAGATCTAGGTCAATTATATACACGGTGAAAATTTCATCGAAATCGGTTAATGTTTCTATGAGCTACAAACGGTTAAAGATGATGAAAATCGCACTATCACGACTTTCGGCGTAAAACTGTAATAAATCTGCAGATTCTTACATCTTTCGATGCCTGTTGCTTGTTTCTCCATCAACATATTTCGATGAAATTTTATAATTGACATCGATTTCCAAAACGTAGTATTTTTCTTTTTCAGGAATAACAAGTAAGTCGTTTAATAACTGTGTTCGGTACTTTTATTCGTTATCCGAAAGCAATAAAGTGTTTTATTACTTCTGAAAAACTTACCCATTCGTCCACGAATTAATCTGCTTCGACGGAACTGGGTCAGTGTGTCGATCCTGACCTATCCGAAACATCTGATGTTACGACCGGATCGGTGAACTCACATGATGAAACATATAACAAAAGAAGAGACAAAGTTGCAAGCGCGATCTCTCCGTTAGGCAACTTTGTTGCCACGAGTCGCTCCCGAAAATTGCACAATGTTGCAAACGCGTTCTGGGTTTGCAACTTTGTTGTCGCGAAAATTTGCACATTGTTGCACGACGCGCCGTTTTGCAACATTGTGCAATTTTCGGGAGCGAGCGACTTTCGGCAACAAAGTTGCAAAGAGGGTATCGCGCTGCAACTTTGTTGCTGGGCGTCGCTCCCGAAAAAGGCACAAAGTTGCAAAACGGGGGCGTCCTGCAACAATGTGCAAAATTTCGCGACAACAATGTTGCAATCCCAGAACACGTTTGCAACAATGTGCAATTTTCGGGAGCGATTCGCGGCAACAAAGTTGCAAACCCGGTACGCGTTTGCAACAATGTGCAATTTTCGGGAGCGATTCGCGGCAACAAAGTTGCAAACCCGGTACGCGTTTGCAACAATGTGCAATTTTCGGGAGCGATTCGCGGCAACAAAGTTGCAAACCCGGTACGCGTTTGCAACAATGTGCAATTTTCGGGAGCGATTAATAGTAGCGATGATAATACGAGTTAACGATGTTACAAGCGAGGACAACGCTTGTAACGATGTTACATTCAAGTGTAGTGCTTGTATTAATGTTTGCGTTCGAAATAACGCTTCTAATAATGTTGCAATCAAAAATAGAGATTCCAACAAGGTTTGTGTTCAAATATAAGGCTTCAAGCAATGTTGCGTTCAACAGTTACGCGTACAACAATGTTTTGCATTCGAAATAGTGCTTCCATCGATGTTGCATTCGAGAATAGAGACTGCAACAATGTGTGCATTCAAGTTTCAAAGATGAGCATTGAAAGAAAAGTATCTTGCTACTTAAAAATCACCGTTCAACGATATAAGAGTTCTTTTCCTGCTCCTGCAACCGTGTCTTATACCTCGATCAATTTGCAACCTCAACTTTCACGGGAGCAAAGGCTCCGCGCAAAAAAAAACGTCATTATACATGCTCAACATTTTTCTCCACCCCTACAGATAACCCTTCTATGTAGCTGAAGGAGTTGTCTTTAAGACGCGTATAGTTACTTGCATGAGAATTTAGTAGAAAGCTATGAAATTATTGCAAACACGTAAAGATACATGACGGTATTTGGTATCGTTCCCGACATCACATACTGAAATTGTTAATAACTAATTATTAAACGGGTCTAACGTGCTAAAAATTATACGAGGAAGTTGCTGACGGTCCATACTTCATTCTTCAACTCTAAAAGTTCACAAATTCGTCGTAAATAATGAGTTACTAATTATTATTTGTGTTAGTACTACACTCGTCATATACAAGCGTAAAGGTTTTCCGTCATTTTCACGAATATGCATGATTAATTTTTCACGTTCAAGCATGTAGAATATGAAATATGTTATACATTGTTGTATGCAGTACATTGTACGCAAAACATTGCCACAAGCATTTACTTGTGCACTTATTTTCAAATGAAAAAGTGCTAAGCTACATTTTCAACTTATTCATCTATGGATAATGCGGCTTGTACGAAAGCATCTGTCTGGAACATATATGCATTAACCGTGTTCCTTATTAAAATAAGGAGCGATTCGCAGTAACAAAGTTGCATAACGAAGGGATCGCGCTTGCAACTTTGTCTCTTCTTTTGTTATATGTTTCCGCGGACCGCGCGACGTTTGGCGAGAAACGATCATGTGAGTTCACCGATCCGGTCGTAACATCAGATGTTTCGGATAGGTCAGGATCGACACACTGACCCAGTTCCGTCGAAGCAGATTAATTCGTAGACGAATGGGTAAGTCGTTCATAAGTAATAAAACACTTTATTCCTTTCGGATAACGAATAAAAGTACCGAACACAGTTATTAAACGACTTACTTGTTATTCATGAAAAAGAAAAAAAATACGTTTTGGAAATCGATGTCAATTATAAAATTTCATCGAAATATGTTGATGGAGAAACAAGCAACAGGCATCGAAAGATGTAAGAATCTGCAGATTTATTACAGTTTTACGCCGAAAGTCGTGATAGTGCGATTTTCATGTTCGATCGCGCCCGGATGAGCCTCTGTTCTCCGCCCCTGAGCGCGGGCTCTACGCGCGCTGTAATTGGCCAGTGTTTTTCGTTAATAACTCGAAAACGAAGCTTCTAACTGGATTTTGGAAGAGGAAAAAGTTGTTCAGAGTCACCCCAGCAACCCCCCATTTCTTGGTGTTCGAGGAGTTACGGGACACCCTGTATAAGCAGAATATTCATAAACTGCCACGTGTGTCGATGGGGGCTAGTTGTGTGGATTTGGTTTTAATAATATGTTGTGAGTGATGGCATGAATGTCGTGTGTTTGTTTTTTAATTTGTGTGAAGGATCTAGGATAGACATGATATATGGGTGATACTCGAATCGTCTCGAGATTGGGGAAACGAGAGGGTCATAGAGAGAAACAGGGAGTAAAACAGTAGAACCGCGTTGTTAATGACATCAAAGAGTGCGTGAGCATATTTGAGAGAAAGAATAAGAGACCATTGATCAGATTATCATTATTCCTTTTTACGTGTCTTTATCGTTATTGTGTAATTATTGTTAGAAAATATATTGCTATTAACCTTACTATCACGTGTTATTCACCCACAAGTTGTTCCTCTGACTTGGGGCAGGTTGTTACATTTCAACCGTGAGCAATAGAGTATTTTGCCGGACAGGCAAATATCTCAATAAATACACATTTTAGACGTATTACATTTGAATATTTATTTACTCAGCTCTTAATGCTCTCTTAATTTCCGGAAAGAAATACAGGGTGTTCCATTTAAAAAAATCATGTCGACCTTTAAAACTTTATGTATAAAAGCAATGTAGGAAAAAGTAATTATTGTAACATATGCATCCCTTGAAATCGTGCAACTTTTGCTTCATACGATAGTTTACGAGCAATCAGGTCGTCAAGTTAGGTGAATCACCCTGCATTGTTTTAGTATTTGTTTTTAAAGATAATACTTATATTTTTGTTGATCTGAACCCTAATAAATGAACATTATTAATAAAATTGTATGTCAATCCATTAAAAAAGGAAATATTTCACTGAAAGGCAACTCTTATTTCTTAGGAACAACTTATTCCGAGCTGAAAATAAATGATTTCCTATGAAAAACCAATTACAATGTATTAAATATAAGCTTAAAATCCTAAAGCACGATAAATTTAACAATAAATTAGCTAATAGAGGTTAAGAATAACTACACTATTTCCCGGTCATTGTTTATGTTTTCTCAAAATCGGAACGTTTCGCCCCGGTCTCCCTATCTCATTCGAAGGAGCAATTTCTACATTTAATTCTTAATAATTCACGTGTAGATAAAAGAGTTTAACATTATCTTCTAATCAGTACTTTTCCCAACATAGTCAAATTACGAATCTATCTTCATTCACTCTTCCAGTCTTGAACAGTAGTATTGGGTCATCCTGAAAGTTCCTGCAGTCTCAAACCTTTGATTTTGAAAAAGTATAACACCACTAAAATTGAACATTTATATTGAAAATAATTTCCATAATGTTCGAGACACATTTGCCAACGTATTATGAGAGCGTTAATTCCGCGTATATAAAAATCCGAATCTCTGAGAGAAAGAAAGACGCAAATGAATTTGCCCGATCAAAAATTAAGACTCAGTCTACTTGCAAGGTAAAACTTAATACTATCAAAAACTCATCCGATAGATTCTTTCTTAGAAAAATTTAACAGAAATTACTCGTTACTCAAGTAAACTCATTCCATAAAATCAATTTCATAAATTTAACTAAATTAATCAAAATTTGTATTCAATTAACTAATTTATTAACTCTCATTCTGTATTAGACGGGAACCATTATCACTGCATACTACAAAACGCCTATCAGCAGTTTTCTTCTCTTACAATTAGAGATTCAGATTTTCATGTACGCGGAATTAGTGCTCTTGCAACATGTTGGCAAAAGTGTATCGAACATTATGGCACTTATATTGAACAAAAATGTACTCATTTTAACGGAATTACGTTTTTTCAAAAGGAACGGCTTAAAACCGCGGGAACTTTCAGGATGACCTAATACCGTCCTCGACCCCCACAATTTCTTAGCACACTGTACGAACAAATAGTCCATAATAGTGGAGCAAACGAGCTCGCGATGTGAAAAATGATTCCGAAAAAATTCGTCGTGGAAATCTCACGCGGTCAACGTTGACGTCTGCTTGTTGGCCTCGTTGTTATTCGTCGACGAGTTCGCCTGTTCCGCGGTCTTGTCTTTGGACCGATCTGTCGCCTCAACCGCCGCCTGCTCCTCCTCCCTTTCCAGCTCGACGTAATAAACGTGCCTCGCCGCGTAGCAGAGCAACAGCATCTCGATTATCATCAGGGCATTGTAGGTAACTGAAATCGGACAGAGGAAAGTAACAGTGCTTGTCCCTTTATCTGGCCGCTGGTATGGAAATGTTATGGGAGCCCTTCCACGTGTCCACAGGCTAGTTTGTCGCCAGGGGAACATTTGAATTCATATTCGAAAGTTCGGGTTCTTGGAACTCGGCCACGAAATTTCACGGTTGACGTTCAGAGAAAGATCGTCTCCTTTTTTTGTTTTTTCGTTTTTTACAACGACATCGAGAAAATTCGAATCTTCTCGGGGAGGAGGATAACGAGAAAAATTACCATTGGCGTAAATCTGCGGTGTAATCGGTGGATTACACGGAAACAGTCCCGTCTGAGGAAGAGTTTTGACAATAAACGCCTGTAGCTTCGAGAACAACAGCACCATCTGCAACACTGTAGCTTTGCGGTGCAGCTTTGCTTCTGTAAAATGAACAGCAGGTCAGAAGTACGTGTATCCATTAACGGGGGCAGGGGACAATGGGGCTTTCCAGAACCTTGAAAATTGCTTCCTGTCGCGCGTTTCTTGTGTGGTCCTTTGCAGGATAATTGCTAACCCCGCAAGAAGACCAATCTTTCCGTTCCTGCTCTCTTTTCCCATTCTGGCTACTGTCTTTCTCACGGCAACACGAAAAGCCTCGGTTTTTAAAATTCTACGGTTCGTTCTTGCTCTTTTCTCAAAGGATAGAAGGTTAAGGAGGTAATTCGAGGAAACGGTAGAAAATTGTCTTGTAATCACGCGGAGGGTAGAGAGCAGGAAAAGATAATGTACAGTTGATGGAAGCGATACAGCCAGGTCGTCCGAGACGTCTAAAACTAGGTGAAGTTTGTGAATTTTTTGCACAGGTATCTGTGAATAGAAAGTTTTTATTTTTTCAGAGGATATAAACTTCCAGCTTTCTTCTCCAATTTTTTGAAACTAAAAGTGTTACTAAATGAAAGAGTTATTGCAAAGCCTTTTCTGATTCAAAATTAGTCGCCGACAAGCATCGGAACGTCTGAAATACAGAATTCATTCTAAATTATGAACAAAAATCTATTATCTAAAATGTAGCGCAAGATTTTTCACAAATAATAATTATTATACAAATGGTGGCAGGTCGAAGAGGCAAGAACCTCTTTTTATCAAAATGAATCAAATTCAAAAAGTTTCTAAAAAATTAAATAATTGAGATATTCGAAAAAGTCAAAAGCTACGTTGTATGTAATACATTTTTATTTACCAAGCAAAAAGGATTTTTAATTTCGGACGTTGCAATTCTGCTAGAATCAATGTTCCAGCAGAAGAGGTTCTGCAATAACTCCTCCATTTCGTAACATTTTTATCTTTTAAAAATTGGAGGTTAAAGTTTGAAAGTTATTTACGTCCTCTGGAAAAATTGAAACTTTTCATTTAGTAAGTGCCTATGAAAAAAATTTTTATCTACTTTTTGAAGTCTCAGCGTGGCGTCCCCTTTGAGATATACAGTATTAAGCCTCCGTATCGTATCTGCAAATTAAGGTACAGATAAGTATTTTAAATATACCATAATGAAAGTAGCAATTCCAAATTGACATCGACCTGCCCTGAGCGTGTCTCTAACTTCTCATCTCCCTAGAATTGCTGTTTTTGGCGCACGGATTAGGCGTACTTTCACGCCCGACTGATATTTACGACCTCGTCATATCGCTTCCACCGACTATACTCGAAGGTTCTTCTGCTCAATTAAAGAACATAAGTAATAATTCTTACCTGGAGCAACTTCCTGCATACTCTTCATGGTAATGGTCAGCCCGTATATTCCCAGAAGTATACTAACTATGGTAAACGGTTGGAAACAGATGCCATATTGCGTCGTTAGGCTTGGTTCCTCTATCGACATGAACAGAAATATGCAACAAATCAATCCCTGGAAACAATAAAGATAATATTGTCAATACGTGTAACATAATTTCCTCGTAAATATTGTATTGTTAATAATAAAAAGAGATTCTAGCGGATAAATGTTCGTTGGAGTACCGAGAAAACGAACGATTTAACGAGTACGAAGAAGTGTACACTTTTTACACAGAAACCGACACTAACAAGCTAGAATCATAAAGAGCAAAAAGTTAAGGTAGAAAAGCAGAAATAACCTGGATAATAGGAAGTTGCAGGACTAGAAGCCGCAGCCAGGACAAAGTGGCGTCGGTCATTTGAAGATTTGGAAAGGGCAGACAGGGCCAGCAGCAACATGGGCCCACTCTCAGCATTAACGGCGTCGACTTCGTCACCTTTTTGCACCCTACGTAGACTATCAAGAGATACAGTCGATAGAGCGCGACTGTTAGGAAAATTTGAGTCACAGTCTCTGATAGTAACTGAGTCCTGAAAATAATTAAATACACGTTGGAATGTGAAGTAATTTTTAATTTATCTTGAGAATGATCGAATGCTATATTGTAGATGTTGTTGCGCCGCCATGCACGTGAGGAAACCCCGGCCTGGCGGATTATCATCGTAAAATTCATTAGTCAAATTCGACCGCCAGACCGGGGTACCAAACTCACATCGGCTCGCAATAAACCTCCTCGAGCGAACGCATCGACGAAACAAAAACCTCGCGAAAGTTTCTAAAAAATTAAATAATTGAGATATTCGAAAAAGTCAAAAGCTACGTTGTATGTAATACATTTTTATTTACCAAGCAAAAAGGATTTTTAATTTCGGACGTTGCAATTCTGCTAGAATCAATGTTCCAGCAGAAGAGGTTCTGCAATAACTCCTCCATTTCGTAACATTTTTATCTTTTAAAAATTGGAGGTTAAAGTTTGAAAGTTATTTACGTCCTCTGGAAAAATTGAAACTTATCATTTAGTAAGTGCCTATGAAAAAAATTTTTATCTACTTTTTGAAGTCTCAGCGTGGCGTCCCCTTTGAGATATACAGTATTAAGCCTCCGTATCGTATCTGCAAATTAAGGTACAGATAAGTATTTTAAATATACCATAATGAAAGTAGCAATTCCAAATTGACATCGACCTGCCCTGAGCGTGTCTCTAACTTCTCATCTCCCTAGAATTGCTGTTTTTGGCGCACGGATTAGGCGTACTTTCACGCCCGACTGATATTTACGACCTCGTCATATCGCTTCCACCGACTATACTCGAAGGTTCTTCTGCTCAATTAAAGAACATAAGTAATAATTCTTACCTGGAGCAACTTCCTGCATACTCTTCATGGTAATGGTCAGCCCGTATATTCCCAGAAGTATACTAACTATGGTAAACGGTTGGAAACAGATGCCATATTGCGTCGTTAGGCTTGGTTCCTCTATCGACATGAACAGAAATATGCAACAAATCAATCCCTGGAAACAATAAAGATAATATTGTCAATACGTGTAACATAATTTCCTCGTAAATATTGTATTGTTAATAATAAAAAGAGATTCTAGCGGATAAATGTTCGTTGGAGTACCGAGAAAACGAACGATTTAACGAGTACGAAGAAGTGTACACTTTTTACACAGAAACCGACACTAACAAGCTAGAATCATAAAGAGCAAAAAGTTAAGGTAGAAAAGCAGAAATAACCTGGATAATAGGAAGTTGCAGGACTAGAAGCCGCAGCCAGGACAAAGTGGCGTCGGTCATTTGAAGATTTGGAAAGGGCAGACAGGGCCAGCAGCAACATGGGCCCACTCTCAGCATTAACGGCGTCGACTTCGTCACCTTTTTGCACCCTACGTAGACTATCAAGAGATACAGTCGATAGAGCGCGACTGTTAGGAAAATTTGAGTCACAGTCTCTGATAGTAACTGAGTCCTGAAAATAATTAAATACACGTTGGAATGTGAAGTAATTTTTAATTTATCTTGAGAATGATCGAATGCTATATTGTAGATGTTGTTGCGCCGCCATGCACGTGAGGAAACCCCGGCCTGGCGGATTATCATCGTAAAATTCATTAGTCAAATTCGACCGCCAGACCGGGGTACCAAACTCACATCGGCCCGCAATAAACCTCCTCGAGCGAACGCATCGATGAAACGAAAACCTCGCGAACCTCGCCTTTCCATAACCGATGCTCTTTTCCGTCAGGGCGACGACTCCACGGTTCATTCTCTGACCAGCGCTTGGAGTCTCGCTCTCGCAGTGACACCCAGCCCAGCCAAACACAGTACAATACTCATCAACAGTCTCATCAACAGTTGTAAATTCAGTCGGGATAATAAAATTCTCTAAATTCTCTCACCTTAATTGGAACCACCAAAAGAGAGCAAACCTGTACCGTCACCTAGAGCGCAAACGGGATTTACGACCTCGCGAAATTCTTCGAAAGAATTGCGGTCCACGGGAAGCTACAGATGTCGTATAACAACAAAATCGGACGACAGTGTTCATATACGGCAGGTTGTCGAATACTATTTGCAGTTTTCAAGATGCCTTTGTGGAAGTCGGAGTTGTTTTTTCTCAGTGGAAAATAGTTATTTAAAATATATATTATCAAAAACTACACGGAAGAGGAAACGTCATGCAGTAGATAGGATAAAATTCGACGAATTTCACCACATTTACCGTCAGTTACGAGAAAATGACAGTTTATTTCACCGGTAGGGGAAAGCAAGTTGCACATTTGTTAGTTTTCTTATATTAATTGATAGCTTGAGGTGTCTAGTTTGTATTAGCATGGCCGAGAAGGCATAAGTATACGTTGTCATAAAATTGGAAACATAAAACGAAAAACGGTCACTTGACTGGAATTCCAGCCATGATTTTTCTTTATAAAAGAGATAAGAAAACTGTTAAATTGATGAAAAATTTTATGACTTTTGGTTTTAAAATTAAAACAGTAGTTAGCAGTGGTTGCACTTTTTCTGCTAATTTGATTTCTTATTTCTCTTTCAATTTTTGCAGCAACACTGGAACCTACATAGAGATATTTTAATTTGGAAATACAAATCTTAAACTAACGTATAATGTATAATGTTTGTGGTCACAGAGTCCCAATTTTTCTTCAAGCAATTCCGATATACTTAACGAGACTTGCAGATAAAGCGAGACCACTAGTGATCGTTAATATTTCTGAGTCGATTAAAACGCGATCCATTAAATATCTCAATATTTAGGAAAATGGACTTACACCGCTATCAAAATAAACGGCTCATACATCATAAGGAGAGTTAATTTAACAAAAGTTTCCAAAAATAAAAATCCTCAAAAAAATAGCAGAGATAGGGACGTCCGTGTCGTAAAGTCGAATCCTAATCCCGGTTAGGTTTCTGTCGCAAGACTTCACGTGCCTTGACGCGACGAAAAACAGACTCGTTTGAAATTCAAACAACGCGACCGACAAAGTCGTCGTTATCGCATCGCGCGTGTTGCCAATTTCGACGCTATCACGCAATGTTATTTGTTTATTTCTTGTCGTGTTGCTCGGTCGATCGGACGACAATGATTTTGTCGCTACACATCTATCCAGAACATAGAGACTTAGAATATACATATTAGGCGTAGAAATTAATTCGGTGCCTTTCCTCGCGAACTTTAATATTTATTTACTAAAGATCGAACACAATTTTAATGTTAAAAATAATCTCCATTATTTCCGATGATCTTTCTCCATTTACAGTCTGTTCCACAAGAGCGTGGACGCGATATCTCTGTGAAAATTAGTTCTTTCTGTAAAAAATTTTATATACATCGAAACTACGTCTAATAAACTAATACGCACTTAATTAACAGTGTGTCCAATCTCCACCATTAGCGATTATTGCCTGACAACGTCTAGGTATACTTTCGACCAATTTCTTGGTATATGAGAGCAAACTCACATCGGCTCGCAATAAACCTCCTCGAGCGAACGCATCGACGAAACAAAAACCTCGCGAACCTCGCCTTTCCATAACCGATGCTCTTTTCCGTCAGGGCGACGACTCCACGGTTCATTCTCTG